TCTTTTTTTTTCTTATTTTTAATTGGTGCACAGTATTCCATTGAAAGGATATACCATATTTAACCAGCCCTTTACTGTAGACGTATTTATATTTTTCTATTCCTCCAAATATTGCTGCTATAAGCATCCTTTCTTGCATATATTTTTTGAATGATGAATGAATGTAACTTAGTTCATTTTTTTCTGACCTTTTCAAGGAGAATTTCCCTAAAGTGGAATTACCTGGCATACATGTAAAATACATTGTCAAAATATTTTCCAGAAAGATTGACTCAATTTACACTCACGTTGACTCTGTAAGAGAATATTCATTTCCACACTTCCTTCTGTCCCTGGGCACTTTAATTCTTTATACCTTTCTGATACACAAAAAGGAATATATTACAATAATTTACATTTTTGATTACCAGTATATTCAAATAGTTTCATATTTGTCACTAGTGCATTATTTAAATTTATGGTACATAAATTTGGTACATTGCCAGTTCGTGTCTTGGCTCAATTTTCTATTGGAAAGTTTGATATTTTTTTTGAGTCATAAAATGTCATTTATTCATGAATTCATTACTCACTCATCCAATAAATGTTTTTAGTATTTGCTTTGTGTCTAGCACTGTGTTAGGTGTAGAAGATATAGCAGTAAGCAAAAGAGACATGGTTGCTGCCTTCTTGAACTTCCAGTTTAGTGGATACAGACACCTAAATAAGCAATAATGAAAAAGTGCAATAGAAAAGAAAAGAATGAAATGGCAACATTTGGAAGGATGCAGCATTGTAAACCATGGTAACTTCTCAAAGTAGTGGGATTTAAACTCCTGATATATATTACAGGTCTACACTTTTTGTTGCATACATTTCAACTTTTGTTTTCTCTTTATCTGATTTACTTTTCATTGTATGGGAGTTTTGGATTTTTAATTGGTCCATCTTTTCCTTTGTTGTTTCTTCCTTTTGTGACATGCTTAGAAAGGCTGTTTTCCACATGAAAATTATATAAATGTTCATTAGTATTTCCTGCTAATCCTTTTATATGTTTATTTATTTGCTTTAGCATTTTAATCTTTACTGCAGTCAGAATTGATTTTGATAAAAGTTATGAGGCATAGATATAATAATTTCCTCAAAATGGCTAACCAGTTATCTATATATAAAAGCCTAAGCAACCGTCCAACCGGTATCTATGACATGCACTGACCACCAGGGGGCAGACGCTCAATGAAGGAGCTGCTGAGCTGCAGTGACTTGGCAGCTGTGGTTCTCAGGTGATGCACCTGGAACCACCGAGGAGGGAGCCCGATTCTGGGGCGCATCACCTGAGAACTGCCCTCTCTCAATCCGGGACCCCTTGGGGGATGTCAGAGAGCCGGTTTTGACCTGATCCCCAAAAGGCCAGGCCAAGGTACCCCACTGGTACATGAATCCATGCATCGAGCCTCTAGTACCAATATAATTTACTTAATAATCTAATCTTTCCTCAGGGATTTGAAATGTCATTTTTATAATGTACTCCATTCTTCTATGTTCTTGGGTTTATTTCTGGACTTTATATTTAATGCTAATGATTTATTTTGAGCCAATACCATCACTACTCTTTTTCATGCCATCGATAGTTATCTGAAACTTGAGCATTTTGCATTTGGTGACATTCTAGAATACAAAGAAATGATAGACATTGCCTAGGGATGTGTGTGGGGTGGGAAATTAATCGGGGTGATATCCCTGATCCTTTCAACTCTGAGACTTCCAGAGTCTGAAATTCATATGGGATCATTGTTAATATGGCCCATTTGTTTGCTGTCTAAGATAAATTAGATGCTTTTAGACTTGGTTTCCCCCTCTCACTCCAAAGCTCAGCTTTCAGAAGGTGGCAGTATTGCCAAACAGTAAGCATCAAATGTTACATGGAGCACCAAGGAGCCAAAGGATCTGGCAGGATTTTAGAATCTCCCCATGAGCTTTCATTAGAGGAGGCAGCAGGGCTGTGCTACTTCTAAAGTCTTCTTTGTCCTCCAGAACAATGGCACACCCAGAAGTCCTCGATGTGTGCAAAACATTAGTGGACCCATATTTTAAAGTGACACCTTGGCCTTCCGGGCATTTCTTTACAAACCTTATCCAAAAGTGCCTGTGGGCCCCTCCACTGACTGATGCAACGCCTAGAATTGTGGATTTAAACAATGTGACCGTGGCGGGATCTAGATGGTTTTTATTTTCTTTATACTTAGTGGTATTTTTTTTAGATTTCCTGCAAAGAACATGCTTCATAATCATAAAATAAAAAAGAGAAGGCAGCATTGGGCATTAAAAATATGGCGGTAAATATGGAAGATGGTGTGCCAGAAGAAGCTCACATCCTTATCTTTTTCAAGCACGTGAGTACATGCAACAAAATGGATTCAAGGTTCTCTCCTTATCCCTAGAGATCAGCTCAGTGTTATTGCTAATCTGGAAGCAGATGCCAGCAGGAAGCTGAGACATTAGAACTCTATCTCATGGAACTACACCTGAGAAAGTCCTTTGGTGGGGAGAGGACAGGGGGTCAGGCTCCTAAAGAGACGCGTTGGCATATCTAATGGGAGACGGTGAATTACCTGTTGCAACTATGAGCCAGTGTAGGTTATCAGGACTTTGAGGACTGAATTTAATTTTTAGGACCTGCCACTGAAAAAAGATCTATAAATCTTGGAGTGTGTCTAAGGGAACTACAAAACTGATCAAAGGCTGGGAAACAGGCACTATGAATAGAAGATAAAGTGGTTGCATTTATTTACCTTAGGTATGAAAAGCCTAGCTAGGGAATTAGACAAATTCCCATCTCCATGAAATGCTACTATGGTCCTCCCAATCATGGAGGTGAGACCTGAATTTATTAACAGTCTTCAGTTGTACAAAGCACAATTGCACAGAAGTTAAGTGTTACTTTTACGCTGAGACTAAGAGACTAAGGCTAGAGTGAGCACAAATTAACCAAGCGGAAGTGATTTAGGCCAGGCATTTAGAAGAACGTGCTGAACACCAAGGTTAGAGTTATCAGTTAATAACTGCGCATGGATTAGTAGGAAATGAAGCTAAGGGTTTAATATAGTAGAAAGATGGGAGAGGACAGAGACGGGAGAGAGAACGTGCCAAATTAGGCTGCTTCATACTCTCTAAAACAATGGACCAGGGGATAAAAATGAACCACATTCAGGAAAGGACATTAAGCTTTAATCAAACCTCATTTATGAAAACCAGGGTTTGCAGATCAGGTCAGTCTGGGAATGGTGACCTGCTTTGCGGGGGAGCACTCACCCGAGGTGTCTTTTAAATAGCATATTCCCACAACTGTTCTGTTTTACAAGTATTTGATTTAGAAAATTGTGATTTTCTTGGGTAATTTTTGAGGGTACTTCTTTATATGAAAGCAAGCATACCTATAATCATGCATCCATTACCAGTTCATTGGAACACAACTCTGACTCCACAAACAAGGCCAACAGCCCGCTGGTGTGATCCACACAGCGACCTGCATAGCCTTTGAGATCTCTTCCAACACTTTAATCCTTTCAACCTGAAAAACCTAGAAGACAATCCAAAGATTATCTCTACAACACTAGATATTATGTTGAACTATATGAAACTGCCATTTCTCAGGTCAAAACAGTCAAATACCAGCTATTGCATATAATTCAGCCTAATACACTAATTATTCCAGTAATTTGTCTGTACCTGGTCTTCATCTTCACGAAAGCTAAAGGCTTTAATATACTTATGAAAGTTTTCAGGTCAAAATATTGGTGGACATGTAAATGCCTGTGTTCATAAGGAGGAAGAAATTACAGGGTTGGGATTAAAGATGCGCTTTTAATAAACCGCTTATAGGCATCTTGCTCATCCTTTTATTATACCAGACACTGGTGCCTCTTGTCTGACTTCAGTATTTTTCAGACTGTGGTCAAAAGAAGTCCAAAGGCCTGATCTGCCAACCTATGGGAAATTCTGTCTGAGAAATGGGCCAAAGAAAGAACAGTGGGGAAGACAACAACACGTGTACCATGTTACAAGTTTGGTGGAGGAAGACCACAGCAAAGCTGTGAGCAGACAAACAGCACGTGGCTTCCTCCTTTCTAAAACGTAGTATTGCTTCATGTACCTGCTTTCAGAAATCTGCATAAGATAAGACACCTGGTACACATTGGAAAAGTCATATCTGCATAGTCATCTAAAATGAGACAAGCTTAGCTGAACTGAAAAGATTTTATTAACAATGTAAAATGTTAAATATTTTTTACGATCGGAGCTAATTCCAGCATGCCCTAAAGCGTTAACACTATGCTGATGCGCAGACTTCATGCTTCAGAGTTCAATTAGAACAAAATGTCATAATATTCAAATTTTACATTTGAGGGTAATTGTATATGTTACTACACCATTTCCTAACTGGATTACTTCATTCTCCAAGAAGCTGAAAAAGACACCATTGGATCGAAAGGAAATTAGTTGCCCATATGCATTGTACGAAGGTATTAGGATTATTGTGTATTTACAAAATTTAAACACTTTTCATAGATGGTCTTTGCTGCATTATAAATTAAGATATTTTTCTGTTGAAGCTCTTAGATTCTGACGGAATGGAAGACTAAATGTAAATGAAAGCAGAGAAAGCAATAGGTGAGGTGGTGTGTTGGCTTATATTGTTTCTAATGATATTGATAGATTGGATTTTAACACAGTTTTGCAGTTTTAAATGGATTTCTATGTTTAAAGACTTCTTCCACATAAGATAAATTGTTAACATGAGATCAGCAAGAGCTGTAGGGTTACTAGTGTACGTGAAATGATTTTTCTCTGTATAATCCATTTTAAAAGACCTTTAAATAATTTAAAAATCATAATTCTTGCATCTGTCATGGTATGGTTTGGAGCAGACATGCACAATGTCGACTTTAAAAATCCTTTTAAAAACAGCCTGCTTTTTGAATCTGTGGTGTTGTTTTTTTTCCCCTTGACAGCAGCTACTTTCAAATGTAAAATCATTTAAAAGGGTAGAGAGAGGCGGATAGAAGTAATAAGGAAGCAAAGGAAGCATAGAAAACATAGTCAGAAACCAATAACTGTGGTCCAGCTGTCTGGAGTCCTCGGCGTCTGTGGTTTTTTTTTCAGGTCTCCCTTGGGATGGGTTTCCAGGAGGAGTTGTCTAGCTGGAGACGAGACAACATAGCCCAAAGAACCTTCTCTTCCGTCTTCTAACCAAAGGGTAGGAAGTTAGATTTAGAAGACTGCTGTCATCTGTGATGGGACAAAGTACATATGAGTGAGGTACAGGCAAAACCTTCTTGTGAACTGGCTTTAAAAATCCACCATCTTTTGAATCAAGGTTTCTTAACCTTATCACTATGGACATTTTGGACCAGATAATTCTTTGTTATTGGGGGCTGTCCTGGGCATGGTAGCATGTTTAATAGCATCACGGCCTCTACTCACTAGATGCCAGTAGCAACTCCCCCACCAGTTGTGACAATGATATGGCCAAATGTTCCCTGGGGGAGGGACAGAGAGCACACAGTTGAGAACCAGGGCTTGGAATTAAATGTAAACTGCTTAGCTGCCCCATCTTTCAGTTGGGAAAAGTATAGATTCTTGGGAAGAGCCCACGCTTTGGGGAAAGTAGCCTTCTTTTCTAAACTTGCCTCTGCTATGTACTAGCTCTGTAATTTGAACATGCAACTTAAACTCACTCAGCTTCAGTTTCCCCATCTGTCAAATAGGGTTTAATATTAGTTAGATGAGGATTAAGTGAAATAATCTATGAAAAACATTTAGCTTGGGTGGATACCTTGGTGCCTAGCAGAGAGGAAGCACTTAGTAAATAGAGCTACTATTAACTATTCCCCTTTATGTAGGAAGGTCGCCTTGCCTCCATTCACCTACTTCATGTCTCAGGAAGAAGTGTCAACTATTCCCTGTTCAGTCTTTCCCTCCCACTTTCTATAGATATCCATAACAAGGGCAAGAGAAGCTGGCCAGCTGTTGAATTCATAATGTTTTATTTGAAATTTTTCCCCATGATGACAAATAGAGGAAGAAATAAGCCTGAAAACCAAGTTTTGTTTAAGGGGCTGGGTTTTAGGAAATAGTGCAGTCCAAAGAGAGGGTGAGCAGAAATATCCTGCTGGGCAGAACTGGCCAGTGTGGGTCCCAGAGGCTCGAGAAGGACCATGAACAAGTATGCTTTTCATTGCCAACTGGGATGGTGCTAGAACATAGTGAGACTGGAGCTACGGGCAACCCCATGGCTGGTTGGTTTTTGTTGATGACTGAGCCCAGGCGCTCAGGAAACTGTCAAGAACAAAGAGTCCTGGCTTTTGGGTCCTCTTATGTAAATTGTGTCATCCCAATGCCCAGGCCTTTCTTCCCCTTTCCCAAAGGTTCATGTAAGCAAATTAGCATCACCCACCACGTTGACAGTGTTCCTTGGAATGGTACCTACTATGTTATACATTTAGATGAAACTGAATAGCAAGTTGGAGCCAGGGAAGAAAACAGGCGCCTCCGCTGGGCACAGCAAATTAGTCAAACACAGTGCACTTTCCCAGTCTCCACAGATTAAAATCCTTTCTTAAAACACATTATGCTAACATGGAGGGGAAAAAAGACTCTCTTTGTCCTTCCCATGGTGAAAAATAATTCACTATAATCTGGATGCCAACATTTTGAAAGCTAAAAACAGGCTGTCCTTCTTTTATACTTAAACTTGCTCCGTGTAGGTAGAAGAGAGTAAAGGGGGAATAAAGGTGGTAGAAGGAGACTTGACTTGGGGTGATAAATACACAATACAATGTATAGATTACATGTTATAGGCTTATACACCTAAAACCTACATAATTTTAGCCCTGGCCAGTGTGGCTCAGTTGGCTAGAGCATCGTCTTATACACTAAAAGGTTTTGGGTTCTATTCCTGGTTAGGGCATGCACCCAGGTTGCAGGTTCAGTCCCTGGTTGGGGTGTGTATGGAAGGCAACTGATTGATGTTCCTCTCTCGATTTGATGTTTAGCTCCCTCTCTCAAATCAATAAAAAATAATTTAAAACCTACATAATTTTATTAACCAATGTTACCCCAATAAATTCAATAAAAAGTAAAAACACATACATATACAAAAGCAAAAACAAACCTTACCCTAAACAGTTACGACACTGAAAGCAATGTCAGAGAGTCTATGTGAGCCAGATTTCTCAAGATAGTATCTCAGAGATGAATCATGATATATTTGGAACAGAAAGATAGCACACTTTCTCGCCATTTTTCGGACTCTTACTTCTTTAACCACCAAATGAGCAATGACTTACTGGTAACCTTATTGGATATAGCAAAGATATAGCAGATTCTTAAGAGTAAAGAATTTTATCTTTCGATATCTGTTTGGATACTGACTACATTTCCTGAAACTCAAGTTCATCTGCAATTCAATGCTTTTTTGGAACAGAATCATCAGAACTATGGAGATATTTATAGGAAAGAAAATCTTTGTACTTTATTTCTTTAAGACTTGGAAGACCTATTTCCTGAATTTCCATATATCCTTTCTCCAAACATTTAAGAGATTTGGGGAGTGACATAATTGGTATTTATATATTATAAAATGCAATTCTGAAATGTACAGTTCTTACTACATGAGGAAATGTCTACTACAATGTTGTATTTACAAAGAAAGTATGCATGTAGATGCTGGGGTATGTGGATACTGTACATTTGCTCCCATTCTCTCCTTTTTGTTATACACAGATATTAAGAGATTAGAGGTTCAGTGCACAAGATTTGTGCACTCAGGGGGGGTCCCTCAGCCTGGCCTGTGCCCTCTCACAGTCCAGGAGCCCTCAGGGAATGTCCGACTGACGGTTTAGGGCTGCTCCCTGCAGGGAGCGAGCCTAAACCGTCAGTCAGACATCCTTAGCACTGCCACAGAGGTGGGAGAGGCTCCCACCACCGCAGCTGCGCTCATCAGCTGTGAGCCTGGCTTCTCTGACTACCAGGGGGCAGCTCCTGTGTTGAGCATCTGCCCCTGGTGGTCAGTGTGCATCATAGCAGCCGGTCATTCTGCCATTTGGTCGATTTGCATATTAGCTTTTTATTATATAGGATGTGTATCAAGACTGACAGTTGTCAGAGGGGAGGAGGATTGAGGGGCTATGTGAAAAAGGTGAATGGATTAAGCAGTACAAATTGGTAGTTACAGAATAGTCACAGAGATGTAGATTACAGCATAGGGAATATATTGTGAAAAATAAGCATGGGGCCCAGTGGGTGTTTGAGGCAGAGGGGGGCCACTCTGTAAAGTACATGATTGTCTAACCACTATGCTGTTCATCTGAAACTAACACAGAATAATATTGAATGTAAACTGTAATTGAAGAAAAAGGACTGACCCTTGTATCTATGCATTCATTACAGTGAATGAGAAAACTTTTGTGCTACTGAAATTCTCTTCACTCAGTCTTTATATCTATATTTCACTTGTGTGAGTACTATACATACACACAAGCATGTATAGTACTCACACATGAATAGGAAGTGTTAGGAATGATAAGAAAGTGTTAGGATGTTAAGCAAAGAACAGGCTGCCTATTAAGGATGACTGCTGGTTTGGGGCATCTTTGTTGAGCATTGGTGACACCTCAGCCTAGCCCAGAGCTTGTCTGATTATCACCCAGAGCTGAGGTGACACAAAAGCTCAAAAGTTGTTGGCAGACGTTCAGAGCAGCTTCCTACACCAGAGGAAGCTGACCCCTGCAGTAAATGCTGAAATTCACCGAGCAATAAGTATGCCTGCAACAGTGTGAAGTGAATTAAAGTCCAAGGAAAGATGTCTTTCCACATTGATTAAAATCCTGTCTCTGAAGTAATGGGTGACCCAAAGAATGTGAGCAAAATGGATCATTTCCCCACTCACTCTAAACTTTCTGGGCTACTCCACTTGAGCTTGTTGAGACATCTTTGATTTTTATTACAAATGTTTGAAATTTTTGTAGCATCTTTCCTCCCAAGTATATACTCTCAGAGAACTGTAACCTAAGAGAATTGTAAATGTGAAAATAAAAAGTGAGGAAGGAAAGGGAAGGAAGGAATGCATAGGAGAATGTGAAAAAAACAGACTAGGAAATTCAACCATCAGTTATTTCAGATCTCAATCATTCAATGTTTAATTCTTGGATGCTACTTGAGCCACTGGAGTTCTCTAAGGCACAATGATACCATGTTTCGGTTGCTCAAATTTCCTTAGCTAATAAAGGATTTCTTTTTTTTTTAAAGGTTATTTTTTAATATATTTTATTGATTTTTTACAGAGAGGAAGGGAGAGAGATAGAGAGTCAGAAACATCGATGAGAGAGAAACATCGATCAGCTGCCCACTGGAGATGTGCCTGCAACCCAGGTACATGCCCTTGATCAGAATCGAACCTGGGACCCTTGAGTCCGCAGGCCGACGCTCTATCCGCCGAGCCAAACCAGTTTTGGCAAAGGATTTCTTATATAAATGATATGACAAGAAATAGGAACACATAAAAATGAATGAGAAGTTTTCAGCCATGGCCAACCATACCAAAAGGTTGCTGGTTCAATTCCCCATCAGGGCACATACCTAGCCTGGGTGAGGACGGGAGGCAACTGATCGATATTTCATGTTCTCTCTCTCTCCCTTCCTCTCTCTCTAAAATCAATAAACATATCCTCTGGTAGAGATTTAAAAATATAGGGAAGTTTTCAAATAATAATCTGAGTTTAAAGCTATGTTCTTAGGTAAAGTCAAAAAAAGTACTTATAATGGCCAGTAAAAGACCTTCAGTTAACCCAGTGGTTCTCAAACATTAGCTTTCTCAGCATCGTCTGGGGGGCTCATTAAAGCACAGATGGTCGCCCTACCTCCAGAGTTTCTGAAGTAGTAGGTGTGTGGTGGACCTGAGAATTTGCATGTCTTACAAGTTCCCAGGCCTGCCGACGCTGTTGGTCCTGAGACCACACTTGGAGAGCCATTGAATTAGCCAAAGTGCATGCTCTGTATCAGGTATAGATGGATCCTAACAGAAAGATGGTCCTTGGCCTCAGGGACCTTCCTTTGAGTAACTATGAGGCTTCAACAGCAATGCTGCAAGAGAGATACAAATACAATGTTATGAGAATTCCAAGTGGGGAAGTTACTCGCAATTGGAGGAAGAAGGAAAAAGGAAGAAGACATTCGTGAATCCACAGAGGCCTTGGTATTCATGGTGGGCCACAGGGATGAGGAGAACT